CAGTCACCTAACCATTGCTACGCATCTAAGCCACCGTTCAGTGAAATAAACTAAAAAAAAGCATTTACTTATATCAATAGATAAGATCCACACCGCGTCTTTCAATGTCACTACTCTCTGTCAGATTCGGTCAAAGATATTGCTTCCTGAAACTTCGCTTCCTCTTCTTTCAATGTATGTCGCACCTTCGAATGACTCACACAGAACCCAATTGCATTCTTGCTTCTCATGCCACTTGGGATAACCTCAGAAGTTCTCCGTTTCACTCTTCGAATATCTTGTGGTGCCGATGCAGCCGCTATTGGGAGTTCTACTGAGCCATACGATTGCAAATAATTTACTGGAATAAATTCCAGTTAATAGCTGTCCTTGTTTTTTGCAGCTTTATGGGTCAATTGAGATCAGTGCAGCTGGATTCGGGTGGAACTTATCGTGTCAACACATGCCCTGACAGACTACACTACTGCAGCCGAGAAAGATGGGCTTTGTCCAAATCTGTCACCACTGCTTCGGTTAGCAGGAAGGACGGATACTGTTTTCTAGGCAGCCGATAAGAACGACCAAGTTGCACGACCAAGCTCAGAAGAACTACAGTTGGATAATAAATATGAGGTCAATGCTCACTGTACGAATTTTGAAGGGTGACTTCTCTAGCTGTGTGATGATCAGTGTCCGTTTCTAGTTGGCACGAACTTTCAACAGAAATACGAACACCCGATAACTTAAGTGCCACCAAATGCCACCAAATGCTACCTTGTCATTAACTCATTCCACCATGAAGCCGTCAGTTCCCGATGGAAAACCTCAATTAAAGGTTAACTTTGTTTCAACAAGTCTCAGTAGGTCAACAGTATAGATCTGTTCTGTCCAAAGAGATAGTTGAAAAATACAGAACCTGGTGATGAATAGTGCTTAGGGGACGAAAAGTAGAGAGTGAAAGGAACTATGCCTTTACCTCTTAGGACAGTCTGCCTAAGGCATCTTAGTCAACCAAATGAACACTGCATTCATTGAGGTCAGCGGAGCTCACTGCTGTCAGAAAAGCCGTCCCAACAACTAGTGTCCTGGATGGCTCGTGCAGATCCCTCAGACATCCGGCAATAAAGAGGCTAAAGAACGGAAGAGAACGCTGGCACACTGTTAAGATCCAGGAGAGGGAGAAGAGTTTCGGTGCATGAAACAAATGCGCCTTAGTTCAAGTGATTTGGCCAACTAGCCAAAATAAAAATGGTTGTCAATGAAACAAAGGTGGAGTGAAAATTCAAGCACAGGTTTGCTGTCTTGACTGTTGGGTTGCCCACTTGAAGGACATTTTAGCTGGCCTCCTTAAAAGCAACCTCTGCAAGAACCCAACAAGTCTGAATGGAAAATCGACACCAACTGTCATCAACAACGGAAATATAAAGCGACAAGATGCCCCGATCAGGCTGTCTGTATCATGTGCTTTTCGAAGAAGTTGGTGAAGCCCTGGTGAGCACTATGGTAGTCCTATCATGGAGTATTTGAGGCAAAAGCAGCAAAGAGAAAAACAGAACAGCATGGTCAAAAAAGGGTGCAAGAACTTCATGCGGAAACCAATGTTGCCTGGTATAGTTGCCGTGGCTTGCAAGGTGCTCACTGACATTAGTTTGCGCAGGTACTCGACTATCAGGGGCGACAGATTTGTGGGAATAAAACGGGGTTTTCTCCTGGCTGACGGTGCATCGACCATATGTTTGTCTCAGGACATGTTTTTGAACAGTGCAGCCATTTCCAACATCGGTCGTTTTTCTTGGTTTGGGGCCTGCTTCTGAGCCTGTAGATTGCCCGAAACTATGGCGGTTCACCTCGCTTTTATACCTACCTGAGCCAGTAGAAGAGGCATTCAAGAAACTTATTCGTATTCTTCCCAAACAAATTTGACTGTGCCTTACAATCAATGATGTTCCTTCTGATCAGAAGAGCGGCCTCCGTACGCCAAGGATGTACGAGGGGTAGTAACCATCTGAAGTTACTCACATTTGAATTGTTGTGCTATTCAGGACATGTACTTCATGTGTCAGGTGACCGTCCATCTCGTAAAACCATGTGCTGAGGGGAAACGGTTGCCAGTCGGACAGGAATATGAAGGCACTAACCAGTAAGCGCAATCGAGTTGACAACTTCCCTCGCTCTGGATGGGAACTCGAGAACCCGACTAACCAGTGGGTGACGACACTGGTGAAATAACTCAGTCATTCTATTGGTAACCCCACCCATATAAGAATTATCAACTTCAGTGCATGGCTGTCCAGTTCCCCGTCTCTTCAAAAAGTCAGACTAATTCAACAACATCTAAATTATTAAGCAATCGTCTCCACTATCTGGCTATGTATCCCCTTCTCTCCAACTTTCGGGTGACCGAAACTATAACAGATGGAAGCAACGTACCTTTGGTGTATGGTTTATAGCTAATACACTCAACTAAACCGGGATGATGGACCGTGGAAGGCAATGCCAAACGTGTCCCCAAGTTGACACGTTTTGGTGCTAGTACACTCTCGCCTGGGTGATCTGGGTGGATTATGAGTAACCAGGTGATAAAGTCCCACCCACCGGTGTACAAAACGAATGTTTGTTACAACTAATCCGGTACAGCTACGCTACTGATGGTGGAAAGATTCAATGGGGATTATTGCGAAGACCAGTCTGAGCTGTGAACTCTAACCGTATGACCTAGACCGCAATGATGATATTGTTTTGGGCGGCATCTTTTCTATCCTTGTCCTCCTTATCCACAGTTAGCCTGTCAGGGCATGATTCATTCCAGTAAGTGTACTCAACAAGGCAACACAACATCATTGAGGTCGAACTCTCTGTAGAAGAAATGTCTGCGGTCTTCTAGTATGTGAATTTCTAACTCTATCCAACGGTCAGGCTGCGGAGTAAGTGGAAGTTTGAGTCAACACTGTTTTAAAACTCTCTTTCAACTAAATATAACCGCGTGGCAATCTTCGAAAGCTAATGCATTAATACTGTGAACCTCCGTAGTAGTGCCTTTGGTATGACAAATACTTCCCCAGAAAGACCACCTTCCACGGTTAATATCACCATTGTAAAAGTCAGTAAAACTTCGTCAGAGAAGCACCATTTTGCCAACTGTGGCTATTGGCTACGCTGTGCCCCCGATTATAGACCAAAGCCTCAGTAGCCATGACGACCTCATCGATTGGTTTTGCGACGCGAGAGGCGTGACTGCACGCATAATTGTGCGTATGATTCAGCGTTAACACGCACAGTCGACAGTGAGGACAGACAGTCATCGTGAATGTTGTCTGAGTCCAGACACTTGGTAGAGAATCATGAGGTAAGGTAGGCGGGCATGTTGGGCATTGAACGCCTTCGCCTTGTTATTGTGACATTGGCTGTCCCCTCAGGGATGGCATGTGATAACCGACAACGAATGACCGAAAAGCTGTTGGCATGTCCATCGATCCAGCGAATGAATCCGCGGTACAGTCTTATAGAGCCTGAAACAAACTCCTCCAGCGAAAGGCAAAATTACCCATCTGAGCGTAGACACGGTACATACGTATCGTGCGTAGTGCACACGTACGTCCCAGAGGGTTTGGACATTTTGTTCTACAGTAGGTGCGAACTATCGCAAAACGTGCTTGTTCATTAAGTTCATGGATGAAGCGTGAAACAAGGTTTGGTTAGGAAGGATGACGTACTGGGTGTCCTGTTGGATGGCTGGCTTATCTGGATCAGAATGTACCAACAATTAATATCAGTCATTAACACACTGCGTACCCAGTCCCTTGATTGATCACCAAGGCACCGATTTCTATTCACTTAAAAATAATAAGGTAGGTTTCAGAGAGGCAATCGGTGGGTTTATGATAAGGTAGGATTTCAAAGGGTTATATGTGTGAAATACGCACAAATATTCGGAACACGCTGCAATTCATGTGTTAGCATAAACTTACGTTTAGCCTCGTTAAAAAGACTCGTTTCGTTTTGTGGAATAATTTCCAAAATCGGTGTTGACCTTTTAAGAAATCCATGCCTTCACGAAGCCTCTGCTCGTTTGTTCAAAAGTTAAAACAGAATAAGTTCAGCACTTTGCTAAAGATAACCACTTTCAACCAGTATGACGGTAATTTTCTAAACAACTGCGTTGGTGGCGCATCCACATGACTCTCGTTTGAGCAATCGTCCTCAAGTCCTGGTACAATCATTCTGGTGAGTCTACTTTAAGGGCGTGGAACCAGTGAACTCGAGTTCTGCTCCTATTAAAGCTCATCCGCAGTACACATCCCTGGCCTTGCTGGGGCTTGAAATCCGCACATCTGACATGCGAAGCAAGTGTTACCACAGCTCCACCAGAGCACGCTGGATGCATCTGAACTTTTGCGTCTGTACAGGTGAACATGTTCGAGCTTCAGCGATATGAATAGAAAGCCCGTCGACGACCCAGTAACATGCGCCGGTCGACTGGTCCACCTGTCAGAACTTCCTTCGAGCTTGAGCGATATGAATAGAAAGCCCGTCGGCCCAAACGACGACCCAGTAACATGCGTCGGTCGACTGGTCCACCTGTCAGAACTTCCCAGTCAGACGCTTGAAACGTGCTTCACACTTTGGTTTTGGTCATTGGTGGCTTCTCCCTGTATTGGTTTCGCTACAAGTTGAGTTGGGTTTAGCAGCGCGACGGCCAACTTGAAACCACTGAGGCTACCCACCAGCTTTTTTCACCACTTCACCACGGTCTGAAGTTGTCGACGCCGTCGTATTTCTCGTACTAAGAAGACAGCTTAGGTCGTCTCAATGAGATTCGCCACCAAATTAGTGTTTTTTTATACAAGCGTGGGTACACTTCGGATTTCTGAATTTTTGGCGAAACAGGGATATCGAGTAAAAGTCAGTATTATGCAGAACCGCCAAAATACTAACCCATCCTACACAAAAGAGAGTACAGCTTGAAGGAAGCATTATGAGTCTGCTGGTTGTCGACCCGGCGGCAAGGAAGCCATTTGCAGAAACCTTTGAATGAAGCGAAATATAATTTAACATTAGAGCGAATGACGGTTCAAGGGGTGGGGTGGAATCTACAACAGGTTTCAGTAACCTCATTTGAAGAGTCATTTGCCCACCAAGTGAATGACCTGTACCAGCACTCAATCAGAGGAGCTAACCTGGGATACTACAGAACGTGTCATATACATGTTGTAAAACACAAGCGTTGTCGATACAAGAGAGATAATACCGTAGAGGTGCACAACACTCAGTCAGGTAACTGAAAACAAGGACTCTTTTTGACTGACGGATGGAGGAATATATTTTTACAAAATTCAGCAGCTGATAAAAGGTGAGATTACCAGTACACCGACTGACGGCATATAACAAGAAAACGGTTCAAACAGACTTTCTCAAGACCTCAACCATTGGAAGGACCCGTTCAGGATGGGATACAAACCAGTGAAACATTACCTCACCATCTCATCCACCCGGATGAGTACCATTGTGCACCGCCTCATATTTTCTGGTGTTAGGCGATGATCCAACACTTTGATATATGGGTGTATGTACTAATACATGTTTGTTATTTTCACTTTATTTTGAGGACTTTCACCGTTTCGGTACGGGTATGGACCGCATGAATTCAGAACTCACCGAAATTACAACTACTGACTGCCATTGAGCTGAGTTGTGTGTTTATGTGCAGTGCAGGTGGGTTCAGTACACGAAGTATGCTTTAAGCATCTTCTGGCACAAACCGTTTGTTCTTCCCGTCCAGTTATTTGCGGATAATGTGGTGCCCCCGATACCAGGCATTCAGGACTGCTAAGAAAGGGAATAGGTTCGCAATGTTCGCATGTATATTAGGAAACAAGCGACAAAGAACATACGTTATTTTATACCACTACGTTGAAAGTGGAAGACGTTTGAAATGTAGTGACGAACTTAGAATACGAGACAAGCAGTTAGAAAATGTAGACTGTACATTCAGACGCGCGGCCTGTCAGCAAACTGAAGTGGACAAACATAAAGTGGAAAATTGTGCACACGTAAGAAACCTCGTTTCAGAAGGGCTTGACAAACAATCGGTAGTTTTTATTTGGGCAACGTTTCGCTTTTGACACAAAAGCTTTGTCAGGCCAAGTGAGCAGGTCACCAAATTGGCCACGTTATAAGGAAGACGGGTAAGTAAATCCTCTCCAGATCAATACATTAGATCAGTGTCAATTAGCGGTTCTTATCGGTTAGTGTGGTTGCCAAAATCTCGCGTTGACGGATAAGGGGTTTTCAAATCGGTTCTGATCGGTTTTGGTTCTTTAATCTTCCACTTCAACTGATGATTCACTGGGGGTGCCACTAGTAGATTTTTTTGGTCTGTGTGGGGTTGTGAGTACTGCGACAATTTAGTTTGGGAGTAGGGGGAGAGGTCAAGTGGAATTCACATGATGAATACTCCATCTTCTGATGACCGCACATCAACACGTACCAGCTCGACTGATCAAAAACCGTTAGCCACGCGCTTGCCAGCTCCACGTCTTCCACTCTATCAGAACTGGGATGCTTGGCGATTTCTACTGCCTCGGGCCTCAGTCTCCGTGGCGTGAACCGTAGTCCCCCCTCAAAACCTCAACATTTTCTAAATCTATTTAGTGCCCCGTGTCCAGTGCGTGTTCCGCAATTGCCGAGTCTTTCAGTGACGCTTGATATTCATCCGCGTTTCTCGACTGCCTGTTTATTTTTCTGCTATGCTCTCCGATTCTCATGCGAAGGTCCCTGCCCGTCTGTCTTACATAGACGTCGTTGTAGACACAGTCCCTGGTTCTGTTTGCCGGGAGGTGGTCCTTCAATTAAGTGCAGCGCATAGAGTATTTCCCCTCTGGAAAGCTAGTGTTATGTTAACTGTGTCTAGAATTCTTCGAAGGACCTTCGACGTCCCTGGTTTATATGGAATAACAGCGGTCCCGGTTCATTCCCTGATGGGTTTCGCTACAGACATCAACACCCTTCGCAAATGACGCCTTATTAAGCTAGTTGGATATCCGCTACCGAAGTTTATTCTTTACTTCACTTTGAGCCGCTGTCCGATCAGCTTCTTCTGTGCACAAGGCCCTTACACGCTTAAACATTACTGGGGCAATACTGGCGAATACCGACGACTGGCAGACGAGTAGTTCAAAAGTACCCCAGTGTCGGTTCGCTTCTCGTTCACTGTGGTCTTTAGTTTCCTTCCGACCTTATGTGTCATGCAGTCTAAAAAGGTCAGTGTACCCGAGGTTAACTCCATCTCCACACTAAATTTGAAGTGTGAACTCATTTCATTCAGATGGTTTTAAAACTCACTAACCTTGTCTCATTTCATCACGACGACGGTGTCAGCTACCTAACGCCAGAATATCTTAGGTGGGTATGGGAATCCGGCTAAAGCTCTCTGTTCAAATTCTTCCGTAAGTATATTTGCCAAAACCGGGGATATTGGAGATCCCCTTGCTAGACCTTGTTCTTGAGTGTAAACGACGGAGTCGAAAACGAAGTATATGAGATTCAGGCATGCTTTTATGCCTTCCACTATTTCATTCACTGTAAAGTGTGTCCGTTCTAGAAGGGTGGTATCTACTGGTAGCAGTCACTTAGCTATTTCTAAAGAATCTCCTTTTGGCATATTTGCATATAACGAATTGACACTGGAACTTACCAGGATGTCATCTGGTTCAACGGTGACCCCCGCTACTTTGTTGGCAAAGTCATACGATTTCTTGATGTAAGTACTATATTTCCAAAGTCTACCCAGTTGATCGAAAACCTCAAGTATATTCAAACGCCTGATGCGTGCTTGCATAAATCCGAATTTTCAACCTCAGTCACACAAAATTCGACTGTTGGAAGTTAATTTCAAACACTAGCATCCTCCTAGTAGATGTCACACCGTCAGTAATTGAAGATTTATCAGGTTTCACAGGAGAGTAGGATTTGACAAAATGCATCCGTTACTGGTGAAACAACGGTTGTGTTCTAAACTAGCAAGCCAATAATTTAAGTTCTCTTTCTCTTCCTCCGGAACAGTTTCGGATCTGGACGTTGAGGTAAAGTTGTGAACCGGGAAGAACAGTTACTGGTTCTGTGAAGCCAATATAAAGGTGATTCATTCCGTTGCATAGATAAATCGATAAAAGCAGCTGACATCATACAAAGACCAATTTGAATTTCCCTCCCTGAGAACTAATTATACTTGGTTTATGTATTACGGAATGGTTAGCACGTTGCCCGAATTAACCAAATTTCGCTATTAAGCTAGAGGAGAAAGAAGAGATGCAGAGTGTCAAAAGTTTCCCTAAATCTAACAAGTAGCTTGCAATTCAGATAAACAAATTTATGAAGTCACACCACACTTTCTACTTGAATTAATCAGCCTGTGCCACAGTTGGAGTGTGTACAGTTATAAAATAATCGAAAGGCAATATCTTCACTGCATCTAGCTAGTGACATTCACTAGGCAGAAATAGTCACTTTTCAAGTTCAGGTTGATCAGCCAAGTGAAGACATCGTACAAACAAGCGGAGCAAATAACAGAAGGCATCCACCATAACTAAGTTCGATTAAAGGCCTGCGATGCGGTCAGGGGTAAGTTCCAATGTCCCTGACTGTACAACTTATTCTCTGCTTGGAATGGCTTTAAATTTATCAAGACGATTAAAAGCTTACCCCACAGAATTTGAACGTTCGTCATTCACGCTTGTCTTAACATTCGGGATGCTGACCCCACATTCCAGAATTATCTTTGAACAGTTACTGCACAGTGCCCACAAGTCTCGTGTTTTTGACGCTCCGCAGCGAGAGTTATCAGGAGTACTAGCTAGATATCACAGTCGCATTATTCTGACGGGTATAGTCAAACCAATCCGTGTAACGCCAAAAACAAACTTGGAAATCTACAAATATGGTTGGAATGATCACGAAGGCTGCCCAACAAAAAAAATTAAAGTCATTATCCTCTGTTTTTGTGGGTAGGAACTACCATAGAAACTAGTTAAATGATTCTGTCAGAGTGGGAACATCACAGAAAAGATTGTCGGTTTACTTTTTATAAGAATATAATCAATTTCTTCCCCAATCATTGAGAAGGACTTGAAAACTAATTCTTTGTTGGTATTAGATCTCGTGAATTAGTTCTGCTTGCCTTTCAGACTACACAATTTATTTGTTTATCGCGAGTTTTTACTACTTGTGCCACCGTACATCCCATAGATGACAACAGTGATCTAACGATTACAATCACATCACACTTAGTTCAAGTCAAAGCCATCATTTCCGACCATAGCTCCGTATCGGAACAAAATCAGTAGCTGGAAATGAACGGTAGTTATATCGATTTTAACTGATGGAAAATTCTGCCATTTAGAGATCAATATTTGTATTGGTGAACCAATCAAGACGTCCTGGCGTTATGCCTACTAGCTAGTGGCCACTGAGATGACGGCAACGGGATGCTACGGCTGTTTGGCACAATGGCAAACAAAAGCGGTGAGAGAAAATCAAAGAGGGGTAGATTGTGATAAGTGAGTTCAAATAGATTGGAACAGCGAATATACACTCATCTGCAAACTAATTTGGTTCTTTCGAGAGACTCACCTGGAACCCAGCTGAATCTCTCGTTTTTGATGTTCTCAGGCAGATTTAGGAAAAAAATAGCGCGACCGTCGGATCAACTCCGTGTGGTTTCAAATGAGAAATGATCCATGTGATGGGTTACGGACTCAGTTCCCATTCATCTGTAAATAGTTCGAAACTGATTCACTGTAACGTAACGCTTATGCAGTTTTCCGTCGGAGAGTTGAGAAGACCCGTTGCCATCAAGCCTCTCATTTATTTACCTCGTCTATAGGATACGTGTACTGCCCTTTGATATATGCAAGCTTATCGTCAAAAAGTTCACCGTCCCAACGACAAAGTGAGAGTCCTTATAAATAAATATGTATTTGTCCTTAAACACATTCCATCATGCTGGAACAAGAACGAAGACAAGCCGAACAATGGATGGATGGTTTAAAACCATGTTTTCCAATCGAGGAACCAGCTTCTCCTTCTTTTGCTACTCGTTAATGTATAAAAAACACAAAATATGTTTGATGGCATACTAGTAAATGCAATCGGTCAATTCTTCACTGTTTCGGAAAACAACTAATGGTATCAGTGCCAGGCGGATTAGTTTGTCCGAAAACTACCGATTACGGATTGTTATGGCAGGTAAAAAATGAGGAAAAACGATTTACTTTTGAGAAGAATCATCAGACTTATTCACCATCAGAAAAATTCTATTTTAGGAAGAGGATGGATTTCGCTCCGTATGAGGAACCACACTTATGTTTAACGTACAGAAGAACTCCCGAGGATGACAGCGAGATTTGACTTCAGACTGAGTTCCATGAAGTTGGTACTCAATAACAGTTATGGTATTGTAGTCAGAAAGTTAGTGACTGTTGACGTTCTCAAAGAGGTAATGATGGTGCACACCAGTTCTGAAATGAGCAGAAATGGAAATTGGTGTTGGTGGAGTCAGATGGGGCACACATTCGCAGCAGTTGGGCGACGCAGTATAGAAGACTGAAGGAAGGCACCAACGTGCGTTTATTTAAAAAGATACAGTAGGCACAAGTAGAATAGGGTGCCAAAAGAGTTGAAGGTCACTCAGGGGGTATACAAGGGAGTAGTGTTTCCAGTCATGTGCTCGTAAATCAAGGTAAATCAAGGTTATATTGGTCTAAAAAGCATTTTGCTTTACAATGACCAAAGGATATTGGTGTGTGTGTGTATGTATGCAGATAAACGGAATGATATGACATATATGTTCTATTGTTTGTAATCTGCATCTCAAATGTTGATGGGGGAAGTTGGGTGAGATCTTATGTATTCGTCAAGCGAATGTTTGAAAGTCTCGAGGTTACCACAATCCACAACAGATGTTGGTAGTTTGTTCCACGTGAGGGATACGCGGACTGAAAAAAGTAGCGCCGACAGTTAATGCGGGAACATGG